TTTATGCGCTATTCGTTAGATAAGAGTTCAATCCAAGGTGACATGCTTGTTGACCACATATTGCTTATGGTGGTTTGCTCAGTCACTATTGGGTAGCTGTTTCGTATGCCCCTCGCCGTTTCTCACAACCTTTTAGACATCGGTTCTCTTCAAACGTGCTTCGCACCCTTGTCAAGCAGTTTATGGAGATGTGGCCACTGGTGCATGCCATAACTTGTTTGAGCACTATAGGTGAGTTATGCAAATGATGGAAACCATCGGGTTGATGGGATTTTGATTCAGCGGCTCTCTGTGCAGCACAATTCAAATAACTCAAAGATTTCGACTGTCGAAACCCTGTTTTAATGCATCAGTGAATTTCATTATGATCCTGCTGTTGGTGTCACTTTTGAGTCCTGGTATCGCAGATATGAGGATATCCAGAAAACTGATGGTGCCTCGCTTGACGATGCTGCTCATATTCGACTTTTACTTCGCAAATTGGGTTCGGCAGAACACAAAAATCCCACAATTTTATCCTGCCCAAACATTCAAGGGACCTTGACTTGGAGGAAACAGTTAAACACTTTGGTGCAATTTTCGGTGAACCGTCATCTTTGCTCCCTATAGAGTATGAATGTCTAAAAATTTCTAAGGCGGTGGAGGGAGATTTTGTTTCCTTCGCCAGCCGCGTTAATCGTGAATGCGAGCGCTGCAAGCTCAAAGACCTCACAGATGATCAATTCAAGACTCCCATTTTTGTCTGCGGTCTCCACTCTCTCACCGAAAGTGAAATTCGCACTCGGTTATTATCCAAACTCAAAACTATGACATAAATTACCTTACAACAAGTTACTAATGAATGCCAGCGTCTAATCAATTTAAAATACGGTGACAAGAAACAGGCGACAGGTAACCGAACAGTTATTGACGTTAATGCATTAACCACATCCAGAAGACGGCAAAATAGGCCTCGCACTGCATGTTAGTACTGTGGACAGTGACATCTCGGACGATTTTGTGCATACAAACAACATAAGTGCGAAATTTGTAATGGTGTGGGTTACAAAGAAACCATCTGTCAAACTCACTCTAAGCCAAAGCTGTTCCATACTAAAAAAATCACCGGACATCGCAACTCTTCAAACCTCAATTTTGCCATGAACGCCCCAATTTCAAGTGTCATCGAAGTATATCCCATTTTGTATCAATAATCGAACAATCACATTACAAGTGAATAGAGCCTCTGATGTAACTATCATCTTAGTGAAGATATGGAATTTACTGAACAGACTGTTTCCAGCAAACCACTCATATTGTTGGGCGGCATCTGGAGAACAAAGCCCATTAATCGATGAGTTCAGCTGCGAATTTTCATTTCGTGATCGTCATTCCCGCCGCACTTGCTGCATATCTAAACTTGATCATTTGAATTTTGCTTGGTATTGATCGGATCGATAAATTGGATTTGTGGCAATTCCCCTTCAATTAAATTTATGATCATTTTGATACTGTGTGCACCTCTCATTCAAGCAGCAAAGTGTGAAAACGTGAATTTCGTCCCTTCTCTTTCGAAAACTGACTTCCCAGTAATTTTTCAGATAGTCCTGATTTAAGCCGTAAAACAAAGGCATTTTTACGTGTATCTTCCAGGTCCATATTTCTTTCAGAACGGCCTGCACCTTACGTATCAGTAGAGAGCTTGTCAACGATGAAGCAGCGAGTCACAATCCTACCGTGTTCAACTGTGCATCTCGCAGCGCATCTGTGTCATCGACGGCAAGCATACAAGAGGATACTTCTGTTAATGAAGATTTTACATTGGTAACAAATAAAATAAGCAAACGTAAGATAAAGATTGAAAAACAAAACAGAATCCGGAATGTTCTCGCACCCCATACCAGTATGGTCATCTCCTCAGTCCTGTAGAAATCGGCCATCAGAAGTCCTCCAATTTTTATCATCCACCCCACCTCGCGGGCCCTTTCGCAAATCGTTGTCTTATGTTATTTCATCATGGCAGAAATCCATTCCTACGTCACCCGCTGATTCACAGGGTTTCGTTGGGACAAATCACTTCCCCACTGTGCACAACAACTCGTATTATAGAACGCTGAATTCTATAAGTGCGTCTCCGTATGGACCAGGCATATCAACCACCTCAGACCTTAGACCGGGCGACAAAAACCAACCAAACGCTCCTCTAATTGTTACTGATGGACGACCGAATTGCTAACACATGCCCCGCAGGTTTCAGCACCGAGATCAAATCACTCAATCAAACTGATCGGCGGCACTCAGCTCGGACTCAAGCTCCAGCACGCA